GTAGACTTTCTAATTACTTCACTTTTTTGTTATTTTAAACTGTTTTATTTTATTGAATTTTATTTGATTTATTATAATTCATAATCACAAAACATTTTTTGCAGCTTGACACTAATAGTTGAATTAAGATAAGCTCCCTCAAAGTAGGGCTTCCCCAATTCATTGTTTTTACGAAAAAGAGACTCTTTATAATTTTTTTTATGGAATTGTTAGTTAAGACTTAAAAAAGGAAATTTTTGTTTTGTGATTTATTTTATATAAAATTATTAAATAAAAAATATTTTTTAATATTAAAAGTGTTACTCACATCTAACTATTTATTTTATATAATTAGGTATAATATAAAGGGGTTGGTACTTGTCCGCCTTACTTCCAAAAAATTAAGAGGAAAAAAGACAAATATCATCTTAATGCATGCTTTAAAAATATGGTAGTTTAATTTTTTTAAATAAAAGTTTATTGAAACGACATAATTTTAGGATAATTTTTTTCTTAATCTTTAAAAGGTAAAGTTGACAGGCACTTTTTCCTAATATAAAATGCATAACAAACTTTTTAAGAAAAAGTAAGAAAAAATTGGGTGCTTTGTAAGAAGTAAGAACATCTGTCCTAATGACATAATAAATGAAACACAAGTAAAATCTACAGGCAGTGATACAGTGGACAAATAAAGAAGACGAAATTATGGGATGAATGACATGGCAAATTATGTCATTAATATATAAATTTTTTAAAAATTTAAATCAAGTAATTTTACTAAGATGGCGTATCATTTTATAGTCGTCCCGTTAAATCGTTTCGTTTTTTCGTCTTTCTCATCATTATTCAAAATCTACACCATAAACCTTTATTGAACGGGCCAACTCATCAGACCATCTAAAACTAATGGAGAGGAGCATCGGTGGGATCCATTGAGTGAGATGGCACATTGCTGGACTATTTTTGATGAGCTGACCATTTCCTTTGATGATTAAGCGAACAAATCAACAAACTCACCAGCAACTCGGAGTCTCAGACAACACTCTTCCGAAGAGAACTCAAAAATCATGAACACATACAAGTTCCAAAAGATTTTATATTAGAGTAGAATAATTTATATCCAACTTCCCTTCTTGATTTCAAATATCTAAACAGTGGGTTGATTGTTAACTTAACACGAAGAATCCCCTTCTAAAGAAAACTCCAAAATCAATGGTTTTCAAGGACTCATCTCTAATTAAAAACCAAAACATGAAATGAAAAAATAAGAACTACAGAAAAACATGAAAACACAAAAAAAGGGAAAACAATGTGAACAAAACAACAAGAAAACAACAGTAGATAGAAGAAACACTATACAGCTAGAGAGGAAACAGCCATTTTTTATGCAATCTGTATTACTGCAATACCCACATAAGTATTAAACTGACGAACAAAACAGGAAATATTGTTGTGCTTGAAATTCTGAGGAAGTATCAGCCTAGCAAACTCCATCGGATCCCACACAACGAAGCTCTCTCCGGTCGGTCCCTACGATATAATTGGATCCAAGGACCTGTCATCCACCAAATCATAAATGTTGGATAGAAAATCCCATTATTCCAAGCAGTCCATCCCAGAGTAAAGAGGCCACACTTGCATAATCGATCTGGTCTTTCATAATCCCATTCGATATTTTCTCTATCCTCAAACTAAGCTGATGGAATTGAAGATTGTGTGCTCAAAGAGGAAGTCGTCGGTTCAAACTTCAAAGGATGCCTTTGCCTATCTCAAATCAACGATCTAAAGACCTAATTTGAAAAATAATCTGGAGAGACAACCATCAAAGCTTGCAATTCAAAAGACAAAACCCTACATCCCCAAATTATAATAGCTGGACATTTTTGTAATGTCCACTTGTACAAAAGGTTTGCTAAATTGTTCACCTAATCATCAAAGGAAATGGCCAACTCATCAAAAATGGTCCAGCAATATGCCATCTCACTCAGTGGATCCCACCCAACGTTCCCCTCGTTAGTTTTAGATGGTCTGATGAGTTGGCTCGTCCAATTGTACTAGTTAAAAAAAAAAAAAGAAAAAAAAAGAGTGAACTTCACCTAATACCTGGAAAGATACCGGTCGTAAATCGTGAGAAGGCCCAATCTACTAATGAGGGATTGGATCAAGTGGTAAGCAGCTTGTTTCAGCTTAAGTAAGGTTTCGAGTTTGAGACCTTGTGAATGCAGTAGCTTCCGTTGGGAGACTCACCCACCATTTCCAAGTGCGCAATGCGAGTCGAGTCCGGATTAGTCAGGGTGAAGCCCCGAATACCGAACGGGAAACGGAAAAAGAAGGCCCAATCTAAACAGCGGCTCCGTGGAGTAAATTGGACCTAATATAATAAATTAAAGCAAAAACAGAAAACTCGGAACAAATTAATGTGAGAGAACTGAGGATGGTGCCCACCGAAAGTGACGGTGAAATATGAACCTGCTCCCGAAACCGCTAAGGACTCTAGCAAAGAGAAGGATGTAGAGTTGGAATTTGATTTGCTTTTGTATCTGCGGAGGCGCTGGCCCTGAGAGGCATGTAAGCATTATCAAATAAAACCTTAGTTTTGTTAAGGCAAATTACACAATTTAGCCACTCGACTCTATCACCCCTCAACTTTGTTCATATGGACAAAGTGACTCTTATTTCGTTGCAGCTAAGAAATTATGCACATTCTCAACCTCAAACTACGAAATTTTAAGAGTTCAAATTATAGTCATAAATTGTTGGTCTAGGAGTTAATTATGTATAGTTTTAAGGTTGATTTAAGTTATAAATTTAGATTATTTATTCTTTAAAAAAAATTTAAATCCTGCGATATATAAATAAATTATTTTAAAGTATAAACAAAACTTAATTTCTATAATATTGCAACTAAAATAAAAATTGATATTGAATCTCTATCATCCCTCAATAGTTAAAAGAATATAAGTCGCCCAAAAATTTATTCTCATATTATTACATGAAACAATTTTATTACTGCAACACCGTAAAGTTTTTCGTTAAAAAAATAAATAAATAAATAAACCAGAGAGGTCAATTTTAGTTCCAGCCCTATTTCACCTTTCCATCTCACTTGTTCTCTCATTCTCTGTGTTTTCTTTCTCCCCTTCTTTGAAAGCCGAAATTCCAAATCGGGTGATTCCCTGCTGACATCTTTTTGTTTCCTTCTCAAAAAAAGAAAAAAAAAAAAAAGAGGAAAGCAAATTGTTCGGGTATTGTTGATTCAGTCCTCTTCCTTTTATTTGACTAATTTTGAGCAAAACCCATTTTGGTTTATTGGTGAGAACTTGTGGGGGCATCTCCATTTTGCTTGGGATATTAAAAAATAAGGTAACTCCTCTTTTCTCTAAGGTTTTACTTTCTAATTTTGTTGTTTATTATGAAACCTATTTTGGGTTTTTACGGTTTCTTTTTTTTTTGGTTGATTGGGCATCTCTACTTCCACTGTGCAGGTTAGCTCTGGTTCTGCCATTCTTTCTTTCTCTTTTTTTCCTCTTTGAATTGCATGTCTAACTTCGCTTTGGATTTCTTGGCTTTGTCTCTTCATGCCACCTAATAGTCGTCCGATTAGCAGGCAGTCGTTGAGGCTCTGCCGAAACCAAGAACCGGTGGAAAAGATTTCCTAGAACTTGCTGCGGCGACCTCAAAGAAAAAAAGGCAACGTCGAATTGAATTACCAAAGCTCGTACGTCCCTTGCGGTGAGTTGAAAACTTAGCCACGGCTTGTGACTAGCAAGTAGTTCCGTTCTACTCAGAAGTTGATTGTCGATTTTGAACTTTCGACTGATTGTTCTTTTGAATTGCCTTGAATTGCTGTAGAGGAGTCTCGAGATGTCTACCAAACTTCATTGCCGACGAGCCATTGGGAAAGCCCCAACATAATGCCTTTGTCAATCCATTCCCAGCCTGTTGCCCTGCCTTTCAAACTTCTCATCTCCTTCCCATGAGTCCAAGGTGAGTGCTTTCATTCTTGACAGTTCGATTGTGTAAACTTTTGAAAATCCCAGGGGCTTTTGAACTTTTATCTCTCTTTTGTGAACTTCGTACTACCATTTCCTACACAAATCGGCCTAACATTGACTCTTCTTTCCAATTGTACCACCAGAAGGTTGCACTGCTTTCCACGCTATGGCACATGCAGAAGAAGAAGTACATCAACACTTTAGTTTCATTGACCCTTGGTTCGATTGTGACTACAAATTCCTGAACTTTGATGCCCAAGTTTCCCTAGATTTCCCCAGCCAAGAAGATCAATAATGCATGGTGCAGTTGAGGGTAGTTGTGCCAGAGCATCTGCGATACCATCTCCAATTCTATTGCGGGTGTCATTTTGGGTTCTGCCGGAATTTCGCCAGCCCCAATTCTGCTTGATTTCCCTAACAAATCCCCCACCCGAAGTTGGAATCTTTGAATTCTGCAAGCATACTTCTGGTGAAACTCCACTGGCTTCGTTTTGGTGTGATGCGGACACCAATAAAACTCCTAAGCCACCCAAAGAGATCCTTGATGACCCCATCACCTTTGATTTCAGACCCTACATGCATTCAACCTTCCTGGCTGACAGATTCAAGTAAAACTCCATGCTAAAGCCGTTGTTAGTGAATTGCCATTCTCCTCTGACAATGTGCATTGTTTAAAAGAACTAGCGATAGTTATGCCTGGGTGGCTCCCTTGCTTTGGGTGGAACCAGAGGTTTGCTTTGGGCCATTATTGTTCCGAAAGTATATGTTGGCAGTTTAGCTTTGATCAGGGAATCCCACTGCCTCCAATTAAAGTGTTGATGCAAGCAGAGTCCCCCACAATGTTTGTAAGACAACATGATGCAGCATATTGGTAGAATAACCCTAAGGCGTTATGTATAGCAGGGATAGTTTGGCAACATTAACACATCAATGATCACTTATTGGGACTTATTGTTGAATTCTCTCCAGCTATACATATGCGAGCCACAAGCGCCTCACTAGACTTCCCAATGCTAATCTCCATTGTCGTCTAAAAGGTACTTCACTGGTAACGGAGGAGTATTCCTGAGAACACCATTGTGGGTTTTATGCTTCTGATTCTGATGGCTCAAAAGTTATATTTGTTCTTGTTGCACCAAAAGTGGATGTCCCAAGTATTTCTTTCCAACACTTAGCAGTCACAACTTCTGCCATAAATTTTTTCTTAACTTTCATTGTGTCTTTTAACTCTATTAAATTTTTTTAAAAAATTTTTGGCAGCTCATCCTGAAACGGATTATGAAGCAGCCGTTGCCCCACCTTGTTGCAAGCGTGAGATAACTTCATTAAGGATGTGCATGATGGTGAGAATCATGATGCTCCAAAGGTAGAAGAAGGAAGAAAGTCGCTAGTAAAGCATCCTCAGTGAATCATAATATCGTTGCCCATCCTCAGCTGGTAAAGGGACTTCTTGGAAAAGTGAGATTTATACAAAGAATCCCCAACTCCAACTTGGGGAACCCTGTGAGCATCATTAGTTAATGTACATGTTCCAACGGCCATACCTATTCTGGGGATTCTTCTAAGATTTCACTCAGCTCCAGTGACTAGCAATGGAAAGGTAAATCCCAATTCTGTTCTTCATTTGACCTTAGAACATCAATTTCATTTTTTATGCTTGTCTGCTTTCAGGAAACAACAAGAAATGCATTCGGTGGACCAATGCCACTAGGTTTCCAAAGGGCTCCAGTCAAAACGTGCTCTGAAGAAGACATTAATGGTGGAAACCATTTCTACACCAATTGCAGAGAGTGAGTTAATCCATTTTCTTTCTTCTGTGTTTTCTGACTCAAACCTTACCATATTGAGTTTGAAGTTTTAACTCAATTCCATCAATTCTGTGTCAGATATTGACAACATTATTGCTGATTGAAACCAAGTAGATGATGATCATACTCCCGGAAAGGATCTTCCTGTTGTATTGGCAGTCCAGGAGTCCGTTTCTACTCAAGTAATTTTGCCTTTGGACGGTATGGGGATAGAAAGATGTGGACCATCATCATTTTCATTTCTTTTTCCCTTTTTTCACTTGTCTGCTTCCAAGAAATAGCAATAAATGCAGTTAGTTGCCAAAATGCCACTAGTTTATTAAAGGTGTCCGAGATCAAAACATGTTTCGAGGGATACATTGGCAGTGTAAACCAAAGTAGTTAATACCGTACCGATATGTATATCGATTTTGTTATTGGAATGGTATGTACCAGATACCGAAATTTTTCGTGTACCATTTCGGATTTATCACTATAAATATATATTTTTATAAATTAAATATCAAATTTTAAAATAAGATAAGAGATACTAATATTTAAAACTATGATATTCTTATAAATT